AACTTTATTGATTCAGTTTAAAAATTTCTTTAATTCTCTCTTTTCATCATTAAAATTCCTGGCCATCATTTCTTGAGTATCCCTATAATAATGATTGTTATCAAAATTTGACAATATGATATGCTTTTGCATCATTAATTTAAAGAAAATGCCATACCAGTAACGAATTTAATAAGTATTCGATTATTAATACGGAATGATTTCTTCTATTATTTTTTCCTCCCTTCTTTTCTAAAATTTCCTAAGTTCTTTTTAGATTATGAATAAAATTTATATGTGCAATATTCCGAGATATTATTACAAGAATCAAGTTGCTTTCAAATATTACTGAAAATTGCAAATTAGAAAGAGCGAAAAAAAACAACAATAATAATATTTACTTAATTTATCACAAAAAAAGTATTATGTCAACCTTTTTGTCATCGAAATCAATCTGAGTAACTCATCGAAACAAGAAGTAATCTTATGGCAAAATTTTTAAACTTATTCAAAAAAATAAAGAAAAGGAAAGGAAAGTGAATTATCCAATCATTTATTACAATTTAAATTCATTTGATCGTTTGAAACGGATAGGTAGGCTTTCGAATATGTAACAGATAGTAAAATGATTGCTTAATGGAAGGTATAATTCTGATTAATTTACTCAAAAGGGTAAAATAAATAGAAATGTTTCCTTCTATTTCTTTTCATTTCATTCATCCGTTTCATATCAAATTTATCTCTCTGCTTTTTTTTTTCTTTTCCTTTCTTTTTCACATTGAAATCTTGTTTTTCCACCATCATTACCTAGATTCCTTTAAAGGGAAAAACGAAAGATGGGAAGGAGCAATAGTCAACAGGTTTACAATTCGTTAAATCAGGAAAATGGAAATGCAATTTTTGATAGACAAGAAATTTAAACTTCTTTGATTGGGTAACGTTTTTGATAGAAAATATTAGGTCATTTTATTATTTTGTTGTTATTATGTCAACAAATCAACAAAATAATAAAATGAAAATGTTTGCAAAAAAACCAATGGCATGTTTTGTGTAATTATGATTAATTATTACAAGATGTAATTAATTAAGCAGAGTAATTTTTCGCTTTATACTCATTTATATCGAGTAAGACCTGCGAATAACATTGAAAATAAGCGATTACACATAGGATTATGCAACATTATTGGATGACTACATAAAATTATTTGATATTTTTGTATGACATCTTTAAAATGATACAAAATTTTAAGCAAAATATTTGAATGTGAAGCAATAAAATAAATATAGTTATAAAGTGTTATAGATTTTTTCTCTATTCTTTTGATTTTTATGAATTTTGAATGATTTTGATGCTAATTATAATTTGATTCAAATAAATAGCTACTTGACGAGAAATTTGAAGGATTTTAAGAAATTAAAAAACGAAAACCTGATAAGAGTTCTTCTATTTGATTATTTCGTTATTCTCTCTTTTCTTTTTAGAATTTCAACAGCAGGAAAAATAGCGGTAAATTACGAACGTATTATAATCTACCAATAATAACAGCAACAATAACAACAGCAACAACAACAACAGCAACAGCAACAACAACAACAACAATAACAACAACAACAACAACAATAACAACAACAGTAGAAACAAATTTGGTTATGAGAACATCAGAAGAAAGAACAACAAATGCAACAGTTTCATGTTTGACAAAAACTGGAATCAATAAATTGATCATTATTATGATGATATCATTTTTATTTATGATTATTATTATATTAGTATGGTTTCTATTTGTATCCAAAATATTACTAACAAATGGTCGGATGAAATATTGTTCAAAGCAATATTTCATTGAGTTATAAATTAACTACTGTTCACTCATTCTTTGTCTAATTCTTCTTTATTTAAAAATTAAAAATAAAAAGGAACAAACGAAAACATTTGAAAATATATAATATAA